GCCATCGTCTCCGGCCGTTTAAGTCGTTGGAAAGGCCAGCCATCAAGTTGAGGGCTTCAATTTCCTTGCTTGTTTCATTGTGACATACAATTGATGAAACTTGCTTGTACGCCCAGAAAAGTATTCTTCTCTGATCTGCCCACTGTCTGACCACCCGAAGGTAATGTAGCATGGGCCAGGATGCAGCCACCTCGATTCTCTGCAACCAAGTTGCTCAGTAGGAAATTGAAGCCCTCAACTTGATGGATAAGGTTTCATCTGGTTTTTGTGCCTGGGATGAGCACCAATTTCTCTGACAGTAGAATCGTGTCCTGATTGTTTAACCCCGTCATGAAATAGTTCAGTTGTTTCTTTGTCCTTTGTAGTCGGGTCTTCATAAAAGTATGTGCGTGTAGTCCTTCAGCCCTAAATGAAAAACATAATGTAGTCCTTCCTCTTCAATATTTGGGAAATTATGCATTTATCGCTTGTATACGTAATTATTTTAATTGTAAGCTGTGTGAACGAAATGCAAAATTTTGATGTGTGTCCTTTCTTTTGTCTGTTTCAAAATATGTATATGTGTTGGGAAATTCTGCGTGTTGTTGTCTGTGTTTACGCAAATTTTTGAGGTTAACAACCGCATGTTGCAGCCGTTTGTTTGTGTTCTTGTAAATATTGATTGGAATACTTTGCAGGAGTTGTCGTCATTACATCTGATGGATATTGGTCACCTCGCACCGACAATGTTAGTTTTCTCCTTAAAGACTTGCTACCAGTTGGTTTCGTACATATGTTTGTAAACAAACGAAATCCATCACCAAGGAATACGCTGAATTTTTTTTTGGGATCAATTCTTACAGCAGCCCATGTACTTTTGTGTTTGTGTTATTTGTTTTGCACAAATTTTGAATGGCCTCGCTTTGCACCATCAATTTTGAACTTTTGTTTCAATTACGTCCATTTGATTACAACTCTTAACTATTTTGTATCAGAAAATATGCATATACGTGGCAACTGTACTTTTTGTTGTAGTCAACTTATAACTTTACTGAACTTACATAATCTCAATCAATTGACATTACAATCTTTGTTTTAAAAATCACAAACGGCATTAGCAATTTGACCGAAAATGTCCACGAAATTTGAAATGGACTGTCACAATTTAGGTAGTTTAAAGTGCATCGATCCAAATTAGACAACGGACAAAATGTGTACACCACCCCTGTAATTTTCCCTTCAATCTAATTTGTATGATTTGCTCTTTCATAAGGGGAAGGAAAAGATTGAAGACAATTGCCGAACAACATATCCAAATGTCTGACACTATCGCTGGCTCTTGTCGAAAGCGGCCAGTTGCACCATTCATTTGTTACAGGTACTAGTTGCTTATTTTGACAATCTAGAATTACATTTTTCGTACTGAAATTACGCGCCTCGTCGAAGTTCAGTTTGTGATGTTTCAAATTGGTTTTGTTCCGCATGTCTGAAAATGTTTAACTTGGTGTCGATTCAGTCCCGGATGTACGAAAGCTGTCTTATGCCGATTTCGGGGCCAGCGTGACATAAAAACTTGCATATATATATATATATATGTATTCATATTTAACATTTAGTGATGATAAGCTTCACGATGCTTGCATGCAGCCAGCAACAATTCAAGAAAACGCAAGGGCCAGACAACACTCGACAAAAAATGATGAGTGTCGAAATCTGTATTCTCTATAATACACTATGATGGAAACACATCGCTGGGTTGCTATCCACACGTTGTATTGAATGGTCGTGGTGGGCTTCTGATTGTTTCGCGTTTGTAGGATTGTAGCATGTAATAATGTCACCTTCCTATTGTTTTTGTAAATTTCAATTCGTTGTAAAAGTCCAGCTGCGTTTTGTCACTGACTTTTTGCTGCAAGTGTTATTTGTATTTGTAATCTTATTTAATTACCAACAATGCACGTGGATTGCGTTTGGCATAAAGTTGTAGTTACAGTAATTTTGGACTCATAATTGTTAGTTGTCTTGTACGTCTGTCATTTTCTTGGTTAAAGACTAGAAACGAGATTGGGGAAAGGTGGAAGGCACTCCCCTCTGATGAGAAAAAGAGGTTTACGGAAATGGCCAAGGCGAGCGCTGAGGAACACGCCAAAGTAGTACCATGTGCACCGAAGTCTGAAAAGGTCATTACGTACTTCATGTTTTCGTAAATGCATTTGGCTAGGTCCTGCTTTGCTGACATTGTTGGTTGTATTTTTGTATTAATTTAAGGGTAAAAAATGGGCAAGGTAAAAGGCAACTCCGCATATCATTGAAGTCAATTGTTGAGCTAGTTAACCGGTTCAACGAAGCACAAAAGCAGGCAGTCATTGACATTAGGTTTGCTGGCCTCCTGGGGATGAAGTGTACACGTATAGATCACGACTTGTGCACATGGTTGGTACAGAACTTCGATCCTGACAGTAGTTCATTGAATGTTCATGGTTGTCATGTCAGGCTCACGTGTAAGGCAGTTAATGTTTTATTGGGAATACGGTGTGAAGGCGATGATGTGCAGTTGGCTGGGTCATTAGAAGCATATCCCAATATCTACGATGAGGTTGGAGTTGTTAACGGAGTCATTCCTTTAAACAAGTTGAGACTTTATCTGACCGAGACTGCTGGTGCGGAGGACGAGTTTCGGCGGAAATTTGCGCTGTACGTGTTGGGGGCCATGTTGTGTCCTACCACAATGACCGAGTTGAAGCCATCGTTCATTCATGCCGTGAAGGACGTGAATCGTATGCGAGCTTGTAATTGGGCAAAGTCGACACTGCAATTCCTTCACAACGGTGTTCGCAAGTATAAAGGTCATCGCGGTGCAACTAGATGTGTTTTTCTGCTAATGGTATGCCAATAACTTGATTTTTTTTTCCATTCCCCCCTTCATGTGTTTCATGCATTGTTCTGTCATGGTTCAACAAATTGGCCTTGATTGGGATATATAATGGTACCTGCTTTGTGAGTACGACAAACAACACTCTTCCTGACCAAGTATGGCACTTGCAGAAATATATTTTGTGTGACTACCGTCATCAATTTAAGAACAAAGAGTACAGGGCAAAAAGTATGCCGAACCTCAATGGAGGAACCAATTAGAACTACGTTGCGAAGAGGGGAACATGTACATAAATTTTTTTTCTTGGTTTCATCAATAAAGTCCTTGGTGTGCTGTACATTTTTTTCCCCAAAAAACATTGCATGATATGTGCCTATAAAGTTGACAGCATCCTCAACAAAATCGGTATGCTATGTACGTTCCACTGCAAAATTGAGAAAAATGAATGTCATTGTTACTGAATATAGTTCATTTTTGTGGGAAGAACAACTTAATTATGGTGTGCCCCTTAATGTCCACAGCTGTTGTACCTTGATTGTGCTTGTCTGAGCTCGACTATGACGCGGTCCACAACTCGGCTTCATGAATGGGGTGATACCCAAATACGGGAGACGCTGCGACGTGTCAGAAGGAAGCAAAATTTCCCAACAATTGCGGTAAACACTCCTACCACTGTGCACATTTCACACCATCGACCCACTTGTCTTCAACATACAATGTCAGACTTCATTTATGCGTTTCTATGATTAGGTGGAGTTTGATTACAGTAACGCCGATGATACTGACATGGATGCATGCCATGTCGAGAACCAACAAACAGGACAGTACAATGAAGTCCGTATGAGCAATTTGGAGTCCGACATTCGCGAACTAAAGGAAATGATGAAGCAAGTTCTCCACAACCAAACAGATTTAATGGCGATGTTGCGACATTTCGAAGGCAAGCAAGTTGTTGGCAATGACAAGGTAATCCATCCAAGCATTACACAATTTTCACACAGTTGAGCCACATCATTTGAAGATGGTTTGTAAGACTAAGTTCACGAATGTGTATGTATAATTAGGTGGAAGGCAATGATGTGTGTATCATTAACCTCTCCTCCAATGTTGCTCAACTGAAGGAAATGCTGAAGCAACTGCTTCAACGTTTCAGTTTGGGCTGCAACGAACCGTTCACTGAACAAACCAATTTACGTGAACTGAAGCAAATGCTACACCACCTCATCAAAGGTATATTCTCTACACCGCAACCGGCAGGCGTGGCCAAACAGGGTGTGGACCCTGCTGTTGGAGTCGAGGCACATGAGGATGGCGTGGTCAAACCATCAGACGAAGTTAACCCAATGGAGTGTAATATTTCAGATGTACAAGGGGTGGATCACCAACAACATATTTTGAAGGGAACCTTGGCAAGGGACAAAAGTCATTTCCATGATGGGCACAAGATGAACATCGAAGAAGGTGGGGACAACAACAAGAAGGGAGGCCTTCAGTCAGGGGAAACATATGAAACTGAAGATAAATACACTCCTGACCTTCAGTCAAGAACGTGGGCGTGCGATGTGCATACTTCTCCTACTAAGGCTTGGCAACCATTGGAGCAACTGTGAGACGTTAGAGAAGTGCAAAGGGAAGACGAAAAGGAAAAGGAAAAATGTGCGGAAGTGGAGTTCAAGCCACTGAGGTCGGGGATATGCAATTGTGCATCGATAGCAAAACAAATAGTGGAGTTGACGATATCAGTTCACCTGTGGATGTTGATGATGTGAATAAGGTGAACACGGTACAAATACTGCCTTTAATGCCCCACAAGTTCTGAATACCCAATTCATGCCCACATCAATAATGTGAATCAGTAATTTTACAATCATCTGTGTTGTATTGTACTAGTTGTCAAGGAATTGCATGTTTGCAGTTATGACTGCTGCCATATATTAGTACACATTTCTAACAAACTCCGCACCAAACATCACAAGTTGGGAAAACTCTGAGGCTCACAGTTTTTACATCATTTCACGTTCTTTTTTATGATTACCGACCTTGTAATGTAAGCTTCAATATTTTTATGAAATGTGTACTGTTAGTTGGCTGTTTATTTTTGTAGGACTCGTTGACGATGTTGGACAGCGAAGGGTTGTTATCGGCAGAGGAACAAAAACTTCTTCACTATGTATTTGACGATAGCAAAAATGAAATGTATTGTTTCATTTACTACTTGCAAATTTTAAATGACAGTCCACTGTGAAATAACTATCGTTCTAAGGATCATTTATTGCTTGTAGGGACATTGTTGTTTCCATGAATCTTCATGGACGGGCATGTGAAGTTGGCACCCGGCGTGACATGCGCACGCTCAAACCAGGGTCGTGGCTATCCGACACTGTAAGTGTTGGCTGCACAAATATGAATCTGAATTTTTCAGTACCCCTGAACTCAGAAACCTTTCTAATCAACTTGCCTTGTGTCTTGCATACAATGTTCCAACCAATCAACTTGGTGGTGGTGCAATTAACTAATCGACAGAGGGATTTACCCAATGACAGGAGGCACACTGATTGGTTCTTTCCCGTATATCTGTTGGTAAGTAAGTGTTTAAAGCTACGTTGTGTATTGTGTATGACATATTTTGACAAATGTTTCCGTCAATGACCTTTATGCATTACACATGCAGACTTTGATTCTAAATAAAGATATGCAACCTCTACACCATGAACATATTGTCACATCATTTTTCGGACATGACAGATACACTGGTGTGATTGATGCATGCCAGAGGGTAATATCAATGTTCATCCCGTTATATTAAAACGAAAATATGAAAGCCATTACATGTTTGCATGGCCTCTAAACAAGGTCTGCCGTTGTGTTTACGTGTAGATTTACATGCCTTTCAATTACAGAGGAGTGCATTGGTTGTGCGTTAAAATTGATATGGTGGATCGTGTAGCCTACCTATTCGACTCAGTCCCATCCAACCGACCAAACAAAAGGAAGCTAAATGCAGCAAAAATTTTGGTATGTCCTTCTGGTGCATTTCTGAACACTACAAAAAACTTGAACATCCTTTACGTAAACCAACTTCAACCTTGTGGAACAGGTTCAAACTATGCACGACTTGCTGCAACTACACTTTGGAAATGATTATGTTACAGACGTGTGTAGCTTCCACCGCTGCATGTTAGATGAGAGGCCAGTACAACAACTGGACGAGTAATCTACAATCCCTCCCTCACATTAATGTCTATGCTGCATGACTGACTTAACGAACCTATTAAGTATTGACGACAACTTTAATGTGAAATTATTTTTGTAGCACGTTTGACTGTGGGATGTTCGTCATCAAATTCATGCAGCAACCTGATTTAAGCCCCGGTCCACACAAGGTACATTCTATTGCTTAATTTCCATTTGTCAATCAAATCCTTCCTCGTATGTCCTGCAATTTTAACTGATTTGTCTTATGATCTTTCTGTACAAAGTTCGCTCCCTCTGTGCGTCATAAGTTGTTGGTTGACATCGTTATGGATGTCAATAATGCAAAGATCGCAGAGTACCGAGAGTGCCTTCATATGAGTAATGCCACAAGCTAGGCCAGTGATAGGAATGGGCTGCCACTACGCCAGTAATTTGGGTGGCAATAGGACTTAACTAATTTTTTATTCTTTGATTTCAATATGGATGTTAATTATGGCTCCCCAGTATTGTTTTTGCTGGTCGATGTAAATATGGACCAACTGCAAAGTGCAAGTCAAATGTAAACATGGATCAAACATGTCGATGTGGCTGCTGACTTAGTATTATTTTCTTTACGCATGTTTCTTGTTCGGATGAATGCGACTGTAACTGTATATAATTTGCGACTGCTTTTGTTACCGAAGTTAATTTATAATTTAATTACAAAAAAGGGAAAATTAATTTTCAAAAATGAAAGAAACCACATTATGAATGAAAACTCAATACTCTTTGTAGGTAAGTTATATATCAGCCCATTAGCACATATGACTCCAGCCAAAACAAAACTTTCATGGCTTACAGGGAAGGTTAAAAAAAAATAAATCAAATCTACATACCTGCTGCATCATCAGCAGCGTCTTCTGAAGAGTTGTCCGTACTGTCTGATTGACTGTCCTCATCCATTGTCTTATCAGACTTCGCTTCGTCCGCCGCCAATTTGTCATCGGTCCGCCAATCAACGTTCTGCTTGATAGCGCTGACTTGCCGCTCCAAACTTGACAACGTGTGTCCACTTCATTCAGCCTTTCGTAGATAGCTTGCAACTGTTGGAATACAAGAGCAACATGAGCTTCAACAATAGCTTCAATCTTGTTTGAATCGGACATTTTGTAGGAATATGTGTATAGTTTATTTTACTGACTACTTTTTTAAAGGAATGTACAGATTCATAATATTACACAACACTATGCTGTAAGTATTTGTAATATATGGTACATGACTTGTATGTTTGCAGAAGACCTCATGCATTGTGACATACATCGTATTAATTTTCAAACTGGCCGAATTCATCTTGCAAAAATTCGTTCCTTCTTGCATGCACCAAGTCATCCGTTCAGTACCCCTGATCATCCATTATTTGGCATTTCCAACACACATGCATTGTACCTTCCATCAGTACTATCCCACTGTCATTGATTTCCACACCCATAGTTCATCATACATTCACATTCGTCATTTGTATTTGTGCCCCAACCCAATTTCATGTCTACTCATCCATAAAGGTTAGCAAAATTGCTCTTATCAGATACATATGCCATTCCAATTGCACCGAACCTATTAAATTCAATACCCGCAGTCATTAAGTTGCTTTTACGCAGTTTGGGTAGGTGTTGCCACCAAACAACAATAAGTGTGTTCACATCTTTAAACTTACCACCAACGTATTAATGGCTACGGGTTTAAGGTAATTTAACATTTACAACCAACCACAAAAAAGTTTGCAACCAGCGTTGTTTCCTTTGCATTTGGGTTTGTTTTTGCGTCCATATATTCTTCGTGAACATGCAAAAACAAAGTTAGACTCAATCAAGAACCTTCACACCTATGGATGCACACCACGGTAAACGTGGTCGTGGACAATCACTTGCAATGGCTACCAGCTCCCGACCGACGTCACCAGAATTGGATTATACAGGTGGGTATATCGATTCCTTCGGTGATTGACGTTTCTTTGAAACAGGGTTCCCACTGTGGAGTTTTAAACCTCTACGGGATTACAACTGCACCCCAATACAAGATGCTTTCCTGGGGAAGTATTTTGGAATTCCAGTTTCACTGTTTGCCAAACGAGTTCAGTGTGAACACCACTGTCGATGTGCTTTTCTGAAGGTCACAAAAGCCCGATCGGTTGAAATGCAGCGGCAATTCCCTCATGTCAGCGACTCCCAACTTAGGCATCGTTTGCAAAGTGAGGTTGATCAAATAACTCGTCGACTCATTAGGAACTCACGGATAGAGGACACAAAGGCAGAGTCGAAGATACATGGATCGAACCCGGCATCTGCGATCAAGGCTATAATGGAGGATCCTGCACTGGTGTCGGACCCTAACCTTTTAGATTACTCAGACTCCGAGGTTGTTGATTTGAGCGAGGATTAGCAGACCTGGACATGTGTATGACATAGTAAGCGTAGTCTTGTAAGATGGCATCGTCGCGCGAAAATAAACGACTTAGAAACTAACAGACCGTCATACTCTGCTAACCATTGCAACGGTGCATGCGTTAATGTCTTCATCATGTCCACTTTGTTGAAAGTATTTTTTTGGGTCACTGTCCTCGACTAAAAGCTGTCTTATGATTTTTGATGGTACGATGACAAGGTAATTTTTTTGTAATGTCAATGACCGATATCAGAAACTATCATTAACCTATGTTTTGTTGATTACTTCATGTTTGTGAATCGTTCAATATGGACAATAAGGTTTAAGTATCGGAATCATTGACTGGAATCACAAGCTGTAATTGCAAACAAAAATTGTGCACAACTAGCCAATGGTCTCATACACTCTTAACATCAATATGTGCACAAAACGTTTTGTTTTTTCAAACACAACGGTTGTGTGGAAGCATACCCCATGGGGTCAACCTATGCATTAGCAATTTTTCTCCAATTGTGCATTGTTATGAACTAATCAGCTCCCCTTCAAAAAAAAAAAATATACAATAGACCATGCAGAAACAGAGTATTGATATTCATTAATGAAGAAGTCAGCACGATGGTGAAGAAATGTACCACGCATTCTATTTCTGCTTTCAACTTGCTAACAGATAATAGTTGAGGCCACAGATAAGTGACAAACAAATACTAGTTGACAGATAACAGATTTGCCAAATCTGTTAATTATAAACAAACCTGCAACACATAACAGAAGTTGTTCATTACAACCAAAATTCATGCACCCAGATAAGAAAACCTGCAACAGATAACAGGCCACAGATAAGTGACAATGCACCGACAAAATTCAGTCATCCACAAAGCATCCACAAAATTCATCCACATAGCATCCACAAAAATGAATCCACATACCATCCACAAAATTCGTCCACAGATCTGCCAAATAGCATCCACAAAGCTCTTACAATGACACCAATGTTTCCCAAAATTCATTACAGACTAACATTATAAGTCACATCATAATAACTTATAAAATTCATTCCGTACATTCATTCCATAATAAAATTCATTCCACAAAGCTATTAAGTAAGTTACATAAGTTACATCATAATAAAATTCATTCCATAAACATTACTTACATCATGAAGTACAATACAACAAAAACTGGTACAAACTTCCATTCAATTTCCCAAAATACAAAGAAGTACGAAAGTTACATGATCAAGTACAAAATGATAGAAGGGCTGTGCTACATCCCCCGAATTTGGGGGCCCCTAATCCCCCGAAAAATCAGAATAAGGCAAAAAAAAAAAAATATGCCCAAAACGACGTCGTTTTGGGCATTAAGGGGATTAGGGGGGCATTTTTAGGGGGACAAATCATTTCTCAATGATAGAGAATAGGAAAATGATTTGTAATGCCCAAAACGACGTTGTTTTAGGCAAATTATTATTTTTTTTTTTTGCCTTGGTTTGAAATTTAGGGGGATTAAGGGGCCAAAAATTCGGGGGATGTAGCAAGGCCGTAGAAAATATAATGAAATACACCATCGCTTTGATAATATTTTCTATCCTTTCAAGCCTTCGACCATGGTCATTTCCCAAGTCATGAAGCCTCGTCCTTACATCGTTGAAGTGTTCTACTGTTAAAGCATCACCAGCTCTAGTGTTGGAAGGGATTGTGGACATAACGCCTTCATCATCTTCAGCCACGAACTTGAAGTAATTGCAATGGGGAGTGGGAGTGGTACTC